ATGTTTATGCGGATTAATTTCTTAGGGTCACATTTTGATAACTGTACCTTAATACTTTTATGCACAGAACTATGAGACTAATCCACTGGTGTAATAAAAATACATCGTTGCTTAAAAAAAAAATGCAATTAGTAATATGCAACTACATATTTTTCATAAAACAACTCTCTCTCTCTCCCCTCTTTCTCTCCTCTCTCTCTCTCTCTCTCTATGTATGTATGCGTGTTGTTGTTGTTTTAAAATGATTTTAGCGTTACCGCATGCGCATATGATGCTGCCGTGGTTCTCATATTCGAAATAGCTCTTCTCTTTAATCGTTCATAACATGGCTAAAAAGTAAGGTATTGAAATAAAAAAAAATGCATTTTATAGGGGATGAACAATACATTCATGACTCCTGATCGACATTTCAAGATAACATTAACCTTCTTTATTAAAAAATGTCAAACATCGCAAAAAAGGCCACTTTTTAAGTATTAAATCTCAATTATCTTGGAAATCTGACGTGCTAGAATTTTTTCATTTGCGGCATCGTTTTCAACATTTAAAAATCTATAAGAGACACGTAGACCAGTCCAAAGTAATTGAAAAAAATAATTTTTTGTAAACTAGTGTTATTATTATTTCTGTCTCATTGTCTCATCTTAAATCTACGCATCGCTTTTATAATCTTAAATATACGCACCGCTCTTATAATATTAGCTACAGCAGCAAATCCTTTGTATATATTAGCAAATCTCACAGCTATAGTAGCTAATGCATTTCAGCTAATCAAAATTATATTAGCTGCAGCATAGAAAAATAGTATTATTGTTAGATTTTATCATAAAATAGTTTTATGGATGAGCACACGCTCTTAGCGCCTTTTTTTACCTTTTTTTAAAAAGGCAAGTTTGTATATAATTTTAAAAAATCCCACCGCCTCCCCCACCGTTTTATAATTGTAATATAAAATGTCAATGGGTATAAAAACGACAATCATCCGTACTATATGGTATTAAGGATTTTGTGATATTATTTATAGTAATTTCTTAAGTAGAGTTAATGCTGTAACTATTTGATTTTTTTAATAATTTGTCTGGTATTCATACGTATTATCTATTATTTTTATGTTTTAATGAACATTAAAATTACAATCACAATTACAAATATTATCAATTTTCAATCTAATCTTAAATCTATCTTAAATCTACGCATCGTTTTTATAATCCTAAATCTACGCATCGCTCTTATAACGCATGTCTTACGAATCTAAAATTATCATATATAACGCACGCCGTATATATACTTAAATACTAAATCGAAACCGTATATCTATCTGAATGGTTTGTTTGCATATACATATATATTAGCTACAGCAGCAAATTCTTTGTATATATTAGCAAATTTCACAGCTATAGTAGCTAATGCATTTCAGCTAATCAGAATTATATTAGCTACAGCATAGAAATAGTTTTATTGGTAGATTTTACCGTAAAATAGTTTTATTGGATGAGCTCTTAGCGCCTTTTTATATATAATCTTTTTTTTAAAAAGGTAAGTTTGTGTACAATTTTAAAAAAAGATTTTATATTAGCTACAGCAGCAAATTCTTTGTATATATTAGCAAATTTCACAGCTATAGTAGCTACTGCATTTCGGCTAATCAGAATTATATTAGCTACAGCGTAGAATAGATTTTACCGTAAAATATATACATAAACGTTGTCCCCCACAAAAACCTACAACCCTCTCTACTCAACGTCAAGAACCCATCCAACAAAGACCTGTCTCAAGACATTATATTTGCACTTGCCAAAGGCCCTAACATCGCAGTGGCACCTAGAAAGGTTCCAAAAGAGATTATCAGCCAAACAAAGTCGACCGCCTCCCATCAGAACAAGCAGATAATATCCCCAGACAGGTAACCTTTTATCCTTTCCAAAGCTAAACCCCCTCCATCAAACATCACTAGACAAGAGCGATTGGCCCTTCAAGACCGGAACAGGGACACAGACATCATCGTGCTTCCAGCCGACAAAGGCAATACGACAGTAGTAGTGAACACATCAGACTATAAGAAAAAAATGGAGAACCATATGTCGGACAAAGCATACAAAAAGCTTGTTGCTCAATACACTGAGCGAATGAATATAATGCTTGTGGTAATGCGTAATTAACAATCTTTATTACTATGTATTTAGTACATGACGGTGTTACTCCCTGAGAACTCACACATAATGGCCGTCAACCCGACTACCACTCACTTCTTCATGCAACGCCCTCATCACTTGGCGATGCTTCACTAAACTAATAACGTTATCGACATAGCAGACGCGAACTTAAGAAATAAATGAAACAATTCTCTACATGCCGCTCCCCCTTGAAAGAACATTTTAAATACAAATAATAATTAAAATATACAAACATAAAATGCTAATAATAAAGTAGTCGTTACTTAGTTCTAAAGATATTAATTGGAGGCCAATTAAGTTGTATAAAGATTGAGTAAACAATTAAATGATAAACTATATCTAATCGGAAAATCCCTTATTTTCAGATTCTCAGAGTACTATTAATAACCTATACTAATAATAAACAATATTTTAAAAAATTGGAAGTTAACGATAGAATTGTTAATCTTTAGGCAAGGCGCAAATCCTTTTTACCGCTCGCTTGAGCATTCCTGATGCCGTACGAATGGTTACCACTCGGATTATTCCGTCTTTTCCTTGCTGCATCTCCTCGATACGCCCTAATCTCCATTGTAATGGTGGCATATTATCTTCTATCAGTAGTACCAAGTCACCTTTTTCCACCTGATCATTTCCCTTTTGCCAACGGGTTCTAGTCTGCAGCTGGTGCAGATATTCTTTCTGCCATCTTTGCCAGAAGTGCTGACATATTTTTTGAATATGCTTCCATCTAGTCAAATGGTTAGTTTGTGTCTCCAAGTAATTCCATTCGGCTATTCCTTGTAAAGGTGCTCCAATTAAAAAATGTGCTGGAGTGAGGGGGTTTAGGTCATTTGGATCCGCTGATAAGGCTGTTAAAGGCCTACTGTTTAATACACTCTCAATTTCTACTAATAGCGTATAGTATTCCTCATACGTAAAAATTAAATCCTTCATTGCGATCTTAAGATGTCTCTTTACACTCTTAACCGCCGCCTCCCACAGTCCACCAAAATGCGGCGAACGTGGTGGAATAAAATGCCACTGTATTTCTTGTGCGGCCAACTGCGATTCGATCTGATCCTTTTCTTTGCGTAGAAACTCATAGATTTCCTTCAACTCTCTTGCTGCACCCACAAGGTTGGTGCCATTATCCGAATATACGTGTGCGCACGTTCCCCGCCGGGCGCAAAAACGTCGAAATACTGACATAAAAGCTTCCATAGTCAGACTGCTCACCAGTTCGAGATGCACTGCCTTTGTTTTGAAGCATACAAAAACGACTACATATGCTTTGGTGACAGAAATCCTGCCTCTTCGATTACTTTGTCTTAGGTTGAAGGGGCCTGCGTAATCTACTCCGCATACTATAAATGGCCTGCTGGCTGTTGTAACCCTGGATTCTGGAAGATCTGCCATTATTAATTCCGGTATGTTTGGACGATATCGAAAGCATGGAATGCATTTCCTACCCACCTTCCTCGTTTCTCTCCTACCTGATAACGGCCAGTATCGTGTCCGCACAGCATTCAATAACTGTTGCGACCCACAATGGTGTAACTTTTTGTGTTCTTGTGCTAACAGAATCTCCGTAATGTGGTGTCTGGTTGGTAGTACTATTGGGTGCTTCTGATCCGCTGGGACGTCGGCTCGTTTTATTCTACCACCGACTCTGATTATGCCCTCCTCGTCTAAGAATGGGTTAAGAGCTGCGATTGGACTATTTGAATGCACTAGTTCCTGCCGTTTTAGATTATGTAACTCTCTAGGAAAGCATTCTTGTTGAACCATGCGGCAAATAGTGGTTTCGGCTCTCCTTAGCTCTTCGGTTGATAGCGTTTTCGACCTGGGCTGTTCTGATAATCTAATTCTCATCCTTTGGCAATAGGCGATAATTCTTTTTAATTTATCAAATGATGAATATCTGTAGAATCTCCTGCGATTTTGCCACCGTGATTATCACCTTCTCTTGTGTCTCTGTAATCTCCGTTGCAGTGTAACTCGCGATGTTGAGCCACTGATCTCTAGAAGGAAGCCAGTGCGGCCCATACCACCATAACTCATCCTCAATCAGTTCCTTCACCGTTGTACCTCTGGATAGCACATCTGCTGGGTTCTGTGACGATTGTACATGCCTCCAGTGACATCCTGTTGTTAAGGTCTGTATCTCTGTTACTCTGTTCGCATAATATATCTTCAACTTATGTGGGGAAGTAGCTATCCAGCTAAGTGTAATCATCGAGTCACTCCATAAAATGTGTCCTTTATAGACAGTTTTATTGCTTCAATTACTGTTGCGACTAATCGAGCCAATAGTAGAGCTGCACATAGCTCTAGCTTAGGCATGGACACTCTTTTCAATGGCGCTACCTTGGATTTTGAGCACATAAGGTAAGATTGATAGTTTCCCTGTTTAGTTTCATACACACAATAAATGCAAGCGCCATACGCCTTTTCTGAGGCGTCTCCAAAGCCATGAATGGTAATTGCTTGATTGAGATTCTGTGGATTAAAACATCTTCGTATCTGAAAACTATTAAGCTCTAATAATGAGTTATAATATTTTGACCAAGTCTCATAAAGCATACGCGGCACTCTCTCATCCCAACCTATGTTTAGTTTCCACAAGTCTTGCATGGTGATTTTGGCTGTAACAGTCACTGGACCAATTAACCCTAAAGGATTATAAATGCTTGCTATCTTTGATAGAATACTACGCTTAGTTGCCTGGTTATTTTCATTTAGCTTTACCGCGTACTGCAATGTATCTTCAGAGGAGTTCCAGAGCAAGCCTAATGTTTTTTGAGGCTGGTTGGCGTCCAAAACCAACAGATGCTCTTCCTCATATCATTGTGTCATTTCTTGCAATACTCTCGAATCACTAGCTCTCCACTTCCTGAGTGTAAACCCTGCGGCTCCCAGTAGCTCCGACAATTCTTTTCTTAACTCGATAGCCTGCTCTATGGTGGGGCTACCTGTTATTACATCATTCATATAGAAATCTTGTTCTAAGGCTTCCGCTGCTGCCGGTAGCGTGATTGCTTCGGGTTGAGTCGCCAGATGTTGCAGACAACGCATTACCAAGTACGGTGCACACGTTGTTCCATATGTTACTGTATTCAGGGTGTAAGTTTGAAGAGCCTCTGCTGAATCTTGCCTCCAAACAATCCTTTGCAAATTTCGATCTTCCATTGTCACCCATATTTGCCTAAACATCATTTTGATGTCCGCTGTTATCACATGCTGGTGTGATCGGAATCTTATCATTATACTCCACAGATTTTGTTGCAAATTAGGTCCACTTAATAATTTTTGATTCAGCGATGTTCCTGTTGATGACTTCGACGAATCATCAAAAACGACCCTTAACCTTGTTGTTATGCTATCGTTCTTTATCACTGGATGATGAGGTAGGTAGAATATCTCCTTTACTGCTTTAGAATCTGATGCTGCAACTAATGACATGTGTCCTAGTTTCTCGTAATTTTCTAAAAACTGGTGGTATTCTTCTCTTAATTGTGTCTGCTGATTGAGTCTTTGTTCTATTGCTAAAAATCTTTTGATCGCTGTAACTTCTGAATCTCCTAGTATGATAGTGTCATCCTTAGGTAATTGTACGATATATTTACCGTCTGTATCTCTCCTTACCGTCTGTAAGAAGAATTCTTCTGTCGCTTGATCTTGCGCTGAGTATCTATGCTCCGCCTTTCTTGGTTGTATTTCCTCTAGTTGCCAGAACTTTTCTAGCTGATGATTAAGATCATTACTAACGAGGTTACAGACTCGCGCAGTACTGTGTGCTCGTGTATCTACTAACTCTCTTCCTACTATCCATCCTAGTTGTGTCTCTTGCAGCCTAGGTAATGTGTTACTTAACTCCCACTGCCTAGTGCCTAATATTTTCCAAAAAATACTGCTTCCCAATAGAATATCTATCTCTCCTGGAATCTGAAAACTGGGATCTGCCAAACTTAATTCTGAAGGAATATTCCAAGATTGCGTATCAACTTTTACCTGTGGAAGCTTAACTGTTATAGTAGGCATAACTAAACAATTTTCTACAGCCGTAAATTCGTTGTGCATTGATTTAATTTTTAATTTTACTGACTCCCTTGCTGTGACGCGCGTATGGCTAATGCCACTAATCGGAACAATATTCTCTGTAGTTCTTAAACCTAGTTTTTGTACAATATTCCTAGTTATAATATTGCTTTGGGATCCAGGATCTAACATAGCTCTGCAAACATTCGACCTGCCCTTCTCATCGCAGATATTCACCTTAGCCGTTGCTATAAAAACTATTGAATCGGGCCCGTTGGTCGCATGCACGGTTATCCTTGTTTCCTTATCGGTAACAGCGCAATTTTGTACTGGACCTTTCGTCGGACCCATCTCACTAGAACTGGTCCCTTTTTCTGTGATCTTTAATGTCTGCCCTTGTGCTCGTCAATTTTCCAATGCTTCTTCCTTGTCTATATGTAACATAGTATTATGTTTCCTAGAACATAATCTACAAGAAGATGCCATACATGTTTGCTTAAAATGACCCTTACGCATACAATTTATACATAACTGGCGCTTTCGTATTTCAGCTAGTTTATCCGACACCGATAATGCCTTAAATCTATCGCATTTTGAAATATGATGTGAATCATTGCAATATACACATTTAAATTTTGGCACGGCTGCCATGGTTACCTTTTTAGTTGAATTTTTTTGCATCATAGATTTTACCTGTTCCGTTTTGCTCTTCGTACCTTCCACTAATTCTAATGTGTGAGCTCTATCGGCCAAATACTCCATAAACGTTTCCAGTGTAGGCATAGTATCTGGTGCATTTTTCCTAACCTCGAATTCCCAATCCTTTCGAGTAGCATAATCCAATTTATCGATAAGTAAATAAATAAGGATGGTATCCCAATGAGTGACCGGCTGTTTTAGTACTTCCAAAGCTCTAACATGGGTACGCACCGCATCGATAAAACTTCTTAATGAAACATGATTGCTTTTACTTACTGGCTGTAACTCAAAAAGTTCTTTAATATG